TCTCATGGATGTTTCTAACTCTCTATCCCTCTCCCTTCCTCTCTGTAAAAAATCAATAAAATATATTTAAAAAAAAAAAGAATTATATGTCACGGGGGCATCAGGATTTTAGAGATGCTTAAGTGGGGCATGGCCAAGAAAAGGTTGGGAACCACTGCTGTGTGCTCAGCCCACAGGGCTGCATGCCTGACAGCTGTGAGCTAGGCCACTGATACTCTAAAAGCCAACGTGCCCATATGGAAAAGGGAAACGTATGAAGAATCATCATCACATTTGAAAAGAAACAAAGAATGCTTTGGGGCAACCAATGATTAAATCACTTATGTTTCTGGAGTGCGGAGATTTAAATTGGGGAGCTTGTCCTTGAGCACATTTTGATTTTTCTTCAGAAGTTAAGAAGTTTAGGATGAGGTCTTACACTGGAACTAGAAATAGAGGAAAGCCTTAGGGGGAAATAGAAGAATAATTCAAACGTGAGGAAAAATGTCAGGGGTAGACAGATTATTCCCTGCCTAAGTTGTAAGTGTAATTGGACTCACTGAGGTGTGGCCCTTCTCATGGACTTTGTCTCAGAGCCCATCCCCTCCCCCACCTCCACATCCAGAGATGTCATTGTCATCAAGGAAGTGTTAGGGGCATGCTGGCAGACCTGGAAGTGATTGGACAGTCATGATTGGACAGTCTTGATATATTTTTAGAATTTATATATTTAAAAAATAAGCCCAATAAAACATGATTTAAAAAGCTTACCTACACTGGATTGAACAAAAAGTTGGTGCCCCAAGTGTACTGAGTGCTGTTAAGTGAGCGGGTCTGGAATGTGCGCTGTGGACGTTGAGCCCGCTGCTTTCCGCATAGTGGGAACTGTGAAGATGTGGGCGAAGGTGAGCTGGGGAGGTGTGGCCTGCAGGGGCTGTCCTGAAGGACATGTCCCCAAAAGTGGGGCTCTTCAGGGGCCTGGGGTAGATGTGCCTGACGCCTCAGAGGTTGCCTTGAATGAGACCCAGTTGGGTGGCTGCTAGCTTGTATCTCATTTACCCTCATTGATGCCATATTTTTGTGGGTTTGCCTTTGGTAAATGAGATCCTTGTCGCTGTGTGGTGAGGTGGTGTCACAGTCACTGTGACGGGTGTCTGCAGCCGGTGGACCTGGAAGGCCCACCAGGATCACCCAGGCTTGCCCCACAGCTGGGACCCCTTAGAGCTGGCCACCCAATTCCAGGGCAAAGAATGGAGTGTGGGAGCAGAACAACCCCCCCTCCCCCCACAGGGCCAGCACTCAGTCCTCCAGAGCAGCTCTGTCCCCTAGAGATGTAGTGCCAGTCACTAAGTCATTTTAAGTTTCCTAGTGGCCACATAAAAAACACACACACAGCCCTAACCGGTTTGGCTCAGTGGATAGAGCATCCGCCTGCAGACTCAAGGGTCCCAGGTTCGATTCCGGTCAAGGGCATGTACCTTGGTTGCGGGCACATCCCCAGTAGGGAGTGTGCAGGAGGCAGCTGATGGATGTTTCTCTCTCATCGATGTTTCTAACTCTCTATCCCTCTCCCTTCCTCTCTGTAAAAAATCAATAAAATATATTTTAAAAAAAAACACACACACACACAAAACCCCCTAAAACTATAAAATTAACATTAGTAGTAATTTTATTGAGGTCAACATATTGTCATTTCAACATGTAATTAGTATAAAAAAATCACCGAGATTACCTTAACATTCTTTTCTTCCTCTGCACGGAGTTTCAGAATCTGGTGTGTTTCGCACTCACAGCACACCCGCCCGGCCACAGTGCCGGTGCTCAGCAGCCTCATGTGGCCAGTGACCACCATGCTGGCTGCCGCACTTCTAGAAGCTTCAGCTCCAAGGAAAGGTGGCTCTTTCCTCCCACAGGAGCCAGGTCCGTCTTGTATTATAATCCGTGTGGGTGCTGCCAAGTTGTAGAGTGTTCTCCCCCGGAGCCAAAGCCTCTCTCCTGTGCCTCCTCCAGGCCTCTGGAGCCCGGCTGGGCCCGGCTCTTCCCTTCCCGCGTCAGCCTCTCTCAGGAATGCAACAGTAGCGGAGTGTGTCCCCCCAGAATTCATTCTTCAGGATGCCCACCCTTCGGTGTTTACTGCTCCCCCTGGACTTGGGGCAAGGTCTCACCTGTGTTGATAGAAGTGCTGGGCTGCTATTTGTGCTGCAGTCAGAGCAGCAGGCCCTGGGCTGAAAGCCTAAGTCCCGTCCGGAAATGTTTTTGAACGTGAGCTTGTGTGTGGAATTCAGAAGCCTCTAGCCCTGGTTCTGAGTGGATGCGAGGGATCCGGGCCGGTGGTTTGGGTATCTGTGACGTGCAGAGACATTCTGGCTGGGCTCTGTAGCGCAGAGCCACTTCACAATGGCCCTGCATTCTCCAGCAGAGGGACCGAGGCCCGGGAAGTGACAACGCTTTCCAACGTCCCTTAGCTCGAGTGAGAGTAGGGCTCCCGCTCTTGACCAGCTCCCTCCCCGTTTCCCCATCTCTCCCTGCCCCTCGGGGACAAGATGGGGAAGTCACAGGAGGGGCAGGCTGCATTTTGTCCAGGGATAGGGAGAGCTGAAAAGTACCCAAGCAGGGTGGAGCTGAGCAAGCACCAGCCCCTTCCTCCTGGCAAGTCCTGGCATGGTTCAAGGCAGGGAGGCAGAGAGCCTGTGGCCAGCCTGGCCTCTGCAAGCGGAAGTGAGGCCTGCTCTTGGCTGGGGTTTCATAGCCCCAAAGGATTTCTCACACCGGTGGTTCCGGGCCTTCTGAACTGCCCGCAGCTCGCCTGTTTACTTTCGTGTATTCCCCGGGTCATCACTGGGCCCAGGACGTGCGGGGATATGTCAGTGTCCAAATGGGCCCACCCCCTCCTGGGGCTCACAGACAGGTTGCGGGGAGAGACAGCAAACAAACCGATGGGCAGTTGAATTGGAGGCAGGGAATGTTGTGAAGGGAATACACAATGCAAGGAGCCGACTGGAGGCCTCCTTGAGTGGGGTGCGCAGGGAAGCCCTAGGCCAGTGATGGCGAACCTTTTGAGCTCGGCGTGTCAGCATTTTGAAAAACCCTAACTTAACTCTGGTGCCGTGTCACGTATAGAAATTTTTTGATATTTGCAACCATAGTAAAACAAAGACTTATATTTTTGATATTTATTTTATATATTTAAATGCCATTTAACAAAGAAAAATCAACCAAAAAAATGAGTTCGCGTGTCACCTCTGACACGCGTGTCATAGGTTCGCCATCTCTGTCCTAGGAAGAGGGACATTTAACCAGGGACTTGAGGGTGAGAAGAGCCACCAGGAAGCTCCCAGCCATAGTGGGTACGGGTCAGGTTGGCGCATGTGAGGAGAGGGGAGTGAGGAGGACGAGGGTGGGAGGGGTAAGGGCTGAGAGGTCGGTGGGGCCTGCGAGCATGGAGCATGAAGGTGCGCTGCTGGGGCCGCAGGAGCTGCCTGGGGTTCGGAAGTAGCAGGAGGGCAGGGTCAGGTACTTGGTTTAAAAGTAGCGCTGGCTGCCCGGCAGAGAGAAGGTCATAGGAGGCAAGGGCGGCCCCAGGAGGCCAGTGAGGAGGTGGCTATAGTCATCCAGGGCTGGCTCGCCATGGGGCCTGGAGGGGGAGTTGTGGTTGGATTGGAGGACGGGCCGGATGGGACCCACGCAGCAGGTTCTGGAGCAGAAAGACTCCGTGATTCTGCCGCGAGTCATTTGGTGGCTGTTGGTGTCACTGTAAAAATGGGGAAAGGGACTGAGGTTTGAGAGGGCAGGCAGCTCAGGCCTGCCGGTCAGCGTTATCGCCACTTGGCATGTGGGGTAGTGGGAGCCGGGAGATCAGTGAGCAGCTCTTGGTAGGCAGAGGGGTCTGGATCCCCCAATGCCAGCAGGTCTCATATCCACCCCTTCTCCCCGTCCCCCTCCACAGTGATCAACAAATACAAGCGCCGGCGGTTTCAGAAAACCAAGAACCTGTTGACAGGAGAGACAGAAGCCGATCCAGAAATGATCAAGGTACATGAGCGGAGCTCTTGGGTCCTGGGGGCGTCGGGCTGTTCGCGGCCCAGCAGCCGTGCGGGCTCTCAGCTGGCACCACCACCGAGCTGCTGTGGGGGCTTAGTCAAGTCTCCTCACCTCTCTGACCCTCAGTTTCCCTCTGGAAAAGGGGCTAGGAAGCTGAGCTGCCTCTCAGGAAATGGGAGGATTCTGGGTGAAGGGGGCGTCCCATTACTATTCCTGTTTTCAGTGGGAAGACTTGCCCACAGTGTCAGAGCCAGGAAATGCAGGGCGGGATTCACACCCAAGCAGTCAGACCCCGAGCCCAGCCGGACAGAGTAGCACCCCCATTCTTCCAGGTGGGCTGGGGGCGCCAGGGTGTTAACCTGTGCTGGGTGCCAGGAATCCTCTCTACGGTGGTCCCGGCAGGCGTTCCGTGAGTGTGGAGCTGCACGCGGGGCTCTCTTTGCAGCCTGGCATATGGGCCCATCCAGATCTGCAGGCTGGGTTTCCCCCCTGTCAGGTGGCTGGGGGGTCCAGGGTGTGGGGTCTGTAAGACTGGCGTGTGGCTGGCCAATGGTCAGGCAGCCTGGCATATGGGCCCATCCAGATCTGCAGGCTGAGTTTCCCCCCTGTCAGGTGGCTGGGGGTCCAGGGTGTGGGGTCTGTAAGGCTGGCGTGTGGCTGGCCAATGGTCACTGTAGTGGCTGCTCTTCTGCTGTCACGATTGTCATGGGAGCCTTCAGGTGCAGGTGCCTCTGGGCCCCATGACCCCCCTGTCTCCCCTCAGAGGGCCGAGGACTATGGGCCTGTAGAAGTGATCTCCCACTGGCACCCCAACATCACCATCAACATTGTGGACGACCACACACCGTGGGTGAAGGGCAGCGTGCCTCCGCCCCTGGACCAGTGTGAGGCCCCCAGCCCCTCTGGCTCTCCTTGTCTCCATCTACCCAAGCTCTCCCCCTGCCCCACCCCTGCCTGAAGACTCCCCTTTCTTCCCTGTCCCTGTCCTCCAGTGTCTGTCAGGGGGCCCATCTGAATATCCCACCTTTGTTCTGGAAGGCCTACGGGGTCTCCCCACCCTTGCGGGTGCCCGTGGCTCCAGCCCAGGCTGAGCAGTGCCCCTGCCCCACTTGCCTGCAGACGTGAAATTCGACGCCGTGAGCGGTGACTACTACCCCATCATCTACTTCAACGATTACTGGAACCTGCAGAAGGACTACTACCCCATCAACGAGAGCCTGGCCAGCCTGCCGCTCCGCGTCTCCTTCTGCCCACTCTCTCTCTGGCGCTGGCAGCTCTACGCCGCCCAGAGCACCAAGTCGCCCTGGAACTTCCTGGGTGATGAGCTATACGAGCAGTCAGATGAGGAGCAGGACTCGGTGAAGGTGAGGTGGGGGTGGGGGCTTCCCAGCACCCTCCTGGGCTGCAGGCGGGGAAGGGGAAGTGGGCCAGGCTGGCGGCCTGGGGACCTCCGGCCAGTGCTCCCTGACCAGTTTCACAACCTCCCAGGTGCCCTCCCTCCTTCAGCCCTCGCTGGCTCTGGGGATCCCATCCCTGAGGCTTCTGTGGTCCTCCTGTCTCAGCTTTCTGTCTCTTTGGCCAGGCCTTCTGAGTCCCTTCCGGACCGCCCCTTCCTGATCTTGTTCCATAGCCCGTTTCCCCCCAACTTCGGGCTCTGACTTGATGTCTCTGCTCTCTGTCACTGTGTCCTTGAATACTCCTGGTGTCCCCATCTTTCTCTGCTTATGTCTGTGCCATTGAGACTCGGCTGTGCTTGTCTGGGGTTGTCTTTCATGTTGGGTTTCCGTTCCTCACTCCGACTGTCTCTGCATCTATCTCTGTCACTCTGCCTCTCTCCCCATCACTGTCTCTCTGTCTCTCTCCTCTCTTCTGTTTCTTTCTCTCTCCATCACTTGCCTGCCTCTCCATGTCCATCTGTCCATCTCTGCCTATCATGCGCACTCCCTCTCTGGGTAGTCCTGGGGGTCAGGTCTGTGAGCAGGTTCTTCTGGGAGTCCAGGAGGAGAGAGGTCGGCCCCCCAGCAAGGGCATGGCAGCGCTCACAGGCATCTCCCCCACCCCCCACCTCTAGGTTGCCCTCCTAGAGACCAACCCCTACCTGCTGGCTCTCACCATCATCGTGTCCATCGTCCACAGTGTCTTTGAGTTCCTGGCCTTCAAGAACGGTAGGGGTGGGACCCTGGGGCCTGTGAGAGGCCATGGGGGGCTGGGGATGGGAGGGTACCAGAGGCGGCTGGCCCCCTCTCTCTCCCTCCTCGCCCATAGGTCCTCTCCCTACCTGGGGGTCTCTCAGCCCCACTCTCCAAAGGCCTAGTGAACTGGCCAGGATGATGGCCCCAAAACTCCCAGTCCAGAAACTTCCATCTACTGGGTGTGGTGCTGCAGGAGGGGCTGGGCTGGGGAACTCCAAGGCCCAGAGCAGGGAAGCCCCAGAGCTGCTCCCATCAGCCTGCCCAGCAGGTTGCCTGCTGGGAAAGGCCCCTCCGGGTGGAGTGGATGGGGCCCACCCGAATGGGAAGGTGACAGCTCAGTCCCCAGAAGGTCCCTACGTTCCAAAGGCCAACAGTGGCAATGGCCAGGGTCTGAGGGGGCTGGCCATGGGGCAGGCACTGTTCTGAGTGCCCTCATTAATTAGCTCATTGAGTCCTCAGCCACAGCCCCATGAGGAAGCCTGTTGTTACCTCCATGCTTACGATGAAACAGAGGCTCAGGGAGGTTAGGTAACTTGCCTGCAGTCACACAGCTCCCAATTGGCAGAGCCAGGATTTGGACCCAGGCAGCCGGCTCCAGCACCCACTTTCATCCCCTAGGCCAGTGGTTCCCAAACTTATTTGGCCTACCGCCCCCTTTCCAGAAAAAATATTACTCAGCCCCTGGAAATTAATTTTTTTAAAATTTTAATAGCAGCAGTGGTTCCCAAACTTATTTGGCCTACCGCCCCCTTTCCAGAAAAAATATTACTCAGCCCCTGGAAATTAATTTTTTTTAAATTTTAATAGCAGTTACTCATCGCCCCCAAATGCACCTGTGGCCATCACCGCCCCCCTGGATCGCTGCAGCGCCCACCGGGGGGCGGTAGCGCCCACTTTGGGAATCACTGCCCTAGGCCCTGCCGGCCACTTCTTCCTTTCCTAGAGACCCACAGTCTGAAGGAAGCCCGCTCTGGAAGGGGCAATAGTAATAAATATTATTATTATTAAGACAATATTGCCAAGATTAAGAGTTACATTTTGAAGATGATAACATCAGAACGGAGCAGTAAGTGCCAACCACTGGTAGGGGGTCTCGGCCGTAGCCTGTGGAATATTCCTGTGCCTGGGCAGGTGCCAGCTCACCAACATTCCTGCTCACTGGGAGCTGGGTCACTGGGGTCCCTCTTCCTGATGAGAAACGAAGGCTCAGAGTGGGTGGTCACTCGCCCAAGGTCACACGGCAGGAGTGGGCCCTGGGTGAGCCCAGCTTTACAGCCCATGTTTGTTGCCTCCCTGGTCTAGGACAGGACTTGGATCCCTTCACCCCCACCAGAACCCCGTCTCCAGACCCATTCTCCCTGGTCAGGATTGGGGGGTTTCTGTGAATTTCCCTTTTAATCTCAGGGTCTGATGGGGGATGGAGGAGCCTGCCGAGTGTGTTGGAGCTCCAGAATCAGAACCAGAGCAGGTGGATGGCCAGGGCTCAGTGCAAAGCCGGCCCTGTGTGACCACGGCTGGCTGCCTCTGTAAAGCAGGCATGTGGTGGTGGCCTCCTGTGGCTGCGGGTCTTAAACACTCAACACAGGCGGGATCGACCAGTGCTGTTATCCCAGTGCAGTTCGGCTACGGGGAGCCCAGGGCTCAGAGAGGCCTGACCTGGGCCCTGCGGGCTGGGTCCAGGAGCAGCATCAGAAGGAGCTGATTGGAGACCTGAGCACGGGGCTCTTGTGTGTACCCAGGTGGCTGTGGGCCACTTCCCTCGCGGTTTCAGGGCAGTGGGCTGGAGGAGATGGCTTTGAAGCACGTGTCCCAGGACTTCCCAACCAGGGGAGGCGCCTGGCACCAGGGTGGACAGCCCAGGTCTGTGTCACAAAGACCCAGCTTCCGGCCAGATGCTGCCAGGCCAGGCTGTGAGGCCACAGGGAAGTGGCTTCTCTGACCAGCCCTTAGCACCTGGACGTGGTGAGCACTTGGGACCTGGCAGCAGTCACTGTCACCAGTCGAGGGACTGCGTTCTGGGGGCCGGTGTCAGACGTGAGGGCTGCAGAGGTCCTGCCTGTCCAGTGCTCAGGTGGCACCTGAGAAGCAGAGGCTCTTTATGGGAAGGGGTCCTGTGCACCCCTCCCCCTTGGTGACCCAGCACCTCCCCTGGGGTCTGAGGAGAGTGGGGCCTGAGGGAGCTGCAGGAAGGACTCAGCTCAACTTCCTGGCTTCCCCCTAACTCCCGTGCACAGATATCCAGTTCTGGAACAGCCGGCAGTCCCTGGAGGGCCTGTCCGTGCGCTCCGTCTTCTTCGGAGTTTTCCAATCTTTCGTGGTCCTCCTCTACATCCTGGACAACGAGACCAACTTCGTGGTCCAGGTCAGCGTCTTCATCGGGGTCCTCATTGACCTCTGGAAGATCACCAAGGTCATGGATGTCCGGGTAAGGCTGGGCGGCCATGCTGTTTTGGGGGCTGCCAGGGGTTGGGAGGGGGACTGTTTGGTCAGCCAGACCCTGGAGCTGGCCCCGGGTGTTTCCCAGTGCCGGCTGCACTCCCAGGACCAAGGGGATTTTCGCACCAGGGGATTTTTCAGGTCACATGTGGGGCAGGGGAACTGGGAACAGTGGGGAAGGGCAGGGACTAGAGCCGGCAGGGGGAACGGCAGCTGACCACGGCCTCCCTCCCTGCCCGAAGCTGGACCGGGAGCACAAGGTGGCAGGACTCTTCCCCCGCCCAACCTTCAAAGACAAGTCCACGTACATCGAGTCCTCAACAAAAGTGTACGATGATGTGAGTATCCTCTAGGGTTTCCAAGCACCACACGCTCCTGGGGGCCCGGGGGATGGGCAGTTGTCGGGGTGGCGGAGGGAGGGAAGGCATCTGCCCCCTAACTGACGCGTCTACACTTCATGGCCTGTGTCACACCCTCTAGCGTCACCACCTGCCATGTATACTTCCTGTCTGAATCCAAAGTTCCCAGAGCCACCTGGAAATTCCCCTAGGCCGGCCGGCCAGACCAGGTGTGGGTGGGTGAGGCAGGGGTGCCAGGTGGGGCCCGAGAAGTGGGGTTCCAACCCCACCCTGTGCCCCACAGATGGCATTTCGGTACCTGTCGTGGATCCTCTTCCCACTCCTGGGCTGCTACGCGGTCTACAGCCTTCTGTACCTGGAGCACAAGGGCTGGTACTCCTGGGTGCTCAGCATGCTCTACGGCTTCCTGCTGACCTTCGGTGAGCAGGCCTGTGGGGGAGGCACACTCATCCCCAGACAGGGACAACCCAGGGTGGGCAGGGGTGGCATACGGGGAGCCTCGAAGGGAAGCCTGGCTGGGTCTGGGGTCAGGGAGGCTTCCTGGAGGTCAGGTGCATTTAGGTCCTCATCCTCAGGGGAACCCACACAGTAAACAAGTGGACAGGCGACTCAGCACGTGATGGGTACTGGGAAGGGTCAAGGTGAGGGTGCACATTAGATGGTGGTCAGGGAGACCTCTCTCAGGAGATGAAAGATGCCAAAGGAGGGAGCCATCCAAGGGCCCTAAAGTAGCCTGTGCCTGGGGGACTGGAAGCAGCAAGCAGGCCATTGTGGCCGGAGTAGAGTAAGTGACGGGAGGGAGGCCGGAAGTGAGGTCAGAGAGGTCCAGGATTAGGATGCCCCGTCCTCTGCTCACGGGTGTCCCCTTACCACCACCATAGGCTTTATCACCATGACACCCCAGCTCTTCATCAACTACAAGCTCAAGTCTGTGGCCCACCTGCCCTGGCGCATGCTCACCTACAAGGCCCTTAACACCTTCATCGATGACCTGTTCGCCTTTGTGATCAAGATGCCTGTTATGTACCGGATCGGCTGCCTGCGGGATGGTGAGCCTGGTTGGGCGGGCAGGCTGGTGGGCTGGCGGGAGGCTCCCACTGCAACTCGGGAGGCACAGGCAGTACTTGGGGCCTGGGCTAAGGGACGTGCCCTGTTCCCGGCCTTGGGGCTCAATCTGAGGCCCAATCTTTGCAGAACCCCCCAACCCCCTGACAGTAGGCCAGTTGGGCCCCTTCCCCTCACACTGCCCCCCTCACCCCACCTCTAGATGTGGTCTTCTTCATCTACCTCTACCAACGGTGGATCTACCGCGTCGACCCCACACGGGTGAATGAGTTTGGCATGAGTGGTGAGGCACCGACAGCAACTGCCCCCGTGGCCGAGGCCCCAACAGCCACAGGGGCCCTCTCACCCCCACCCACTCCTGACCCTGCCACAATCACCACCGCCGCCGGGGAGGAGGCCTCTACGCCCATGCCTGCCAAGCCCACCCAGGGGGCCAGCTCCACCACCGAGCCCCAGGAAGTCCCTCCAAAACCGGCAGAGGACAAGAAAAGGGATTAACTGTTCCTGGTCATCGTTGTCTGCTCCGGCTCCTGGTGACACCGCCCCTGCCGACCCAGGCCCCTCGCCTCCCCTCCCTATTGCCCTCTCCCTGGACAGATTGGGCCGGGGCGGCAGGAGACCCCTTTTGGGCCAGGGCCCAGTGCATGGTGTGGGGGCTGGGCAGGCCAGGGCACGTGGTTTGTGGAGGCGCCGTCTGTCTGTCTGTTCCTGTGTTTTAGCCATCTTGCCCCGCCAGCCCAGCACCATTGGGAATCATGGTGAAGCCGATGCGGCACTGCTGAGGGGGTGGGCCAGGCAGGGGAGAGGCCAGGGCCCCTCTGTGGGATGCCCGCGGCCATCCATCATCTTGTCCCTCGTCCCCTGACCAGCCCCCTCCTCCCAGACCGCCACCCTTTAACACAGTCTGAATTTAATAAATTCATGTGGGTGTTTAACTTAAACTCAACAACCCCCCCTTGTGCCTTCCTTCCTCTGTCACGGCAGAGAGCAGGTATGGGTGGCTCTCCCAGGTCTGGGAAGGAGACCCTGCAGGTTGAAAGACTTGGTAAAGTGGGGACAGTGGCCCTCTGGGCCAGGCCCCTTTCTCACCCTCCTCCTCTCAGCAGTCCTCTGATGGGGCTTCCATAACTCCCATTTCACAGATGGGGAAGCTGCTTGCTGTGACCTCGCTGCACCTATGTTCTTGCCCATGAGACGGCGTCTGGCCGGCTGAGGCTCAGCGCCTTGCCTGTGCCCATACTGTTTTCGGGCCTCATGCCACCAGGCAGGACAGGAGCCAGGCCTGCCTCATGAGCAAACACTCACCGCCTGATCCATTTCCACCAGCTTCCGCATTCAGCAGTCCTGGGCCCTGGACACGTGACCTCCCTTCTCTGGCCTTACAAGCTTGCCTCCCCAGGTTGCAGCAGGGGTATGGGGTGAACCTTCACTCAGGTGGTGCCCAATTATAGAGCTTGGAGTTTTTGGGGTGTCTCCAGGGCTGCCAGCGCAAGGACCCAACCAAGCTCTTAGTGCATGGCCCATGGGCCTTCCCCACAGCGGGTGCTGGGGCTGTTTACCCACTTCATAGGTGAGGAGACAGGCCTCTGGGCCTCCCTGCACTCAGAGGGATTGGAACCCACATTCCCAGATTTACAAATCGGGGTGGTCTCATCAACACTGCAGGGAGAGGAGGCCTGGGGCTGAGGGCCTTCCCTGAGGCCTCACCTCCACTCCGCCCTGCAGAGCCAGGCAGGGAATCCACCATGTCAGGGGAGATGCTGGTGTGCTCAGGCCCTCATGTGTACACGTGTGCACGCAGGTGCGCACACATGCACGCAGGACTGCAGGCTTTTCCACCCTCAGGCAGCCACGGCCCACTCCACTCCCTTTCGTACTCTGCACACGATTCCATGGCTCCCCGTGTCCTAGGAGAAAGCTTAGGAGCCCAGGGGGTGTGGCCACCTGGACTCACTGGCCTCATCTTCCCTGACCCTCCTCCCACAGCCGCACACTCCAGCCTTTGGCAAAGACCATCAGCTTTACCCCACAATCAGGAGTCACCAGTTCCACTGACACCACCTGGTTCAGAATCCTTCTCGCCTCTTGGGTTCTCACCCAGCCTTCTCCCTGATGTCCTGCCCTACCCATTCACCACCATCCAGTAGCCAGAGAACTTTTTCTTTTTCAATCCTCACCCAAGGATATTTTTTCCATTGATCTTTAGAGAGAGAGTGGAAGGGAGGGAGGAGGGGTAGAGAGAGAGAGAAACATCAATGTGAAAAGAGACACATTGACTGGTTGCCTCCTGCAGGCACCCTGACCGGGGCCAGGGATTGAACCAGCAACCAAGGTACATGCATGCCCTTGACTAGGAATCAAACCAGTGACCCTTTGGTCCGTGGGCCAATGTTCTAACCAGTGAACAACCAGCCAGGGCACCAGAGAACTTAACTAAAGCACAAATCTGACCCTGCCCATCCCCTGCTTAGAACCTACATGGCTCCCTAGTATCCTTGGGAGAAGAGCCCAGGGTCCTAACTGGTGAGCCAGACTGGGTGGGGTGGGGGGGGACTTCTTAACCTCTGTAGTTTCATCTTTCTTGCTTTAACTTGCCATGATCTCCTGACTGTAGCGAATTCTCTTCCCTTACCTGGGAAACTTCCAGGCACAACGCTCTTTACCTTACCCTGTGCATCCTCCAGGTTGCAGCTCCAATGTCTCCTCTAGGAAGCCCTCCCTGACCACTTCCTCTAAGCGCCGCCCCCTCTCCCCCCAGCTCCCTGGGGTCCCACATTCCAGCCCTATCCACTATGGGTCATCACTGGGGACAAGTCATTCTCCACTGAACTGAGCCCCGTGAGGACAGCTAGGGCTGTCCTGGTCACGGCCATGTCCTTGGCACAGAGGAGGCGCTGCAGGAATGTTTGCTGAATGCGTGTTTGCCAGTCCTAACTCACAGACAAGCACATACCCAGGAGTGTGGACCCTAAAGAGCCCACATTGACACTGATGGAGAGATTGACAACCAGTCAACAAATGCTCCCTGAGCCCCTCCCCTGGACACTGTCCTGAGCTGGGGGGTCTGTGTACACAGCAGGGACCAAGACACCCCCAGGTCTGCCCTTAAGGGGCTGAGGGTTTCTGACATGTCCTTTCACTTACTCATCCAACACACAGTTGTGAGATCTGACATTTGCAAGGGGCAGAGGCTAATCAGGTGGGCTCCTGGGAGCCACTGCTCCACGTCCCTTATGAGCCAAGCTCTAGTCTAAGAGCTATATGTGGTTTATTTCATTAAGTTTAATATTGATGTCCCCATCACCTTACAGACCATTGCTATACTCTCCACTACTTCCCCAGTAGTCTCCACTCCAGACTGCTTGCTATTACTTGAATATGCCATGCATGTTCCCACCTCATGGATGGGATATTAAAGTAATAGCAAGGAGACCGGAATGGAGTGGATCCTTCACAGTTTCAGCTCTTTGCTCAAACGTCATCCCAGAACCTCCCTCAACTTCCTAACCCAAATAGTACCCTCTAACCTCAATCCATATATCCTGCTTTATTCTGTAATACTGCCATCACCACCAGACATGTATTTGCTTATCTATTTCCATCGGTCTCCCTCACTTGGATTTCAGTGCCATGATGGGAGGGGCTTTTGTCTTTTGTTTCCTTTGCTGTGTCCCCAGCTTTTGGAACACTGCCTGGCACCATTACACTGTAATAATTAAGTCAAATGCTTACAAGAGCAGATGAGAAAACCCAGAGAAATTGAGAAATTTGTCCAAGGTTTCAGAACATAAAGTGTTAGAACAGTGTCCAACACATTTAAGAGCTGTATACAAGTGCCATTCTTAGCATTTTTATTTATTGATTTGAGAGAGACATCGATTTGTTTTTCCACTTATTTATGCATTCATTGATTCTTGTATATGTTCAGACCGGGGTTCGAACCCACAACCTTGGCGTATCTGGATGGCACTCTAACCAACTGAACTACCTGGCCAATGCTATTAGTATCATATAATTCTCACAACCATCCTGTTATTAGACCCATTTTACAGATCAGGCTCAGAGTGATGAAGTCAGTTGCCCAAGGTCACACAGCTGGTAGGTGGGAGACAGGATTTGAACCCAGGCACTCTGATTCTGGACCCTCAATCATAACCTCCCTTGCAATGCCCTTGTTGTATGCAGATTATAGCTTACAGGCCAAATGCAGCCTTTTCCAGCTTTTGTGTAATTTTTAAATAGTTAAAAAAGCTCAAGAAGAATATTTTGTTTCACATGAAAATTATACGAAATTCAAATTTCAGTAGCCATAATGTTTTATTGGAACACAGCCATCTCGTTGTACTGTCTGGGTGCTTTTGCGTTATGGCAGAGTTGAATGTTAAGACCTGTCTGGCCCTCAGAGCCTAACATATTTGCTCTCTGGCCCTTGGCAGTTTTTAAAAGTTTGCTCAATATTTTGCTGTCTAGCAGTAGTGCTCCAACTTGAGCCTGAAGGGCTTGGGGCCACACTTTGAGAACTGCTGCTGCCTCCCATGAGAGGCATCAGGCCTGGCTTGGTGAGTGCTGTGTCCCCAATGACCAGTGCAGGCCCTCACACACAGCAGATGCTCAATAACTGTATGTCCAATGAATTTATTTTATTATACTATTTTTTAATCTTTAACTCGATATTTTTCCATTGATTTTTAGAGAGCGAGGGGAAGACAGAAACATATGAGAGAAACATACCGATTGGTTGCCTCCTGCATACACTCCGACCAGGGCTCGGGCCAGGGAGGACCCTGCAACAGAGGTATGTGCCCTTGACCAGAATCAAATCTGGGACCCTTTGGTCCACAGTCCGATGCTCTATCCACTAAGCCAAACTGGCCAGGGCTTTTAATTTTTTTAGTTTGTATGTCTAATAATCTGTGGACGACAAAGATAAGAGAAACACTCAAATTTTACACAAGTAGATATAGCATTCTGTGGTCAGGGTGCCGCATCCATGTTGGAACCTATGGTCACCTAGTCATTCTGAAGAACGGGAGGCTTTAGGACTATGATCAAACCAAATGGCTGCCCCTCCTTGAGCCTCAGTCTCCCCTCTGCAAGAATCCTGGTTCTATCACATGCCTCTGATGCGACTGTGAGGTATGAAGCATCTGTGAGGCCCTCAGGTAAGCACTTTGCTCAAGGTTCAGGTACACAGCTCAGGATGTATGCTGGGGCTACACTGACATCATTCCCGGACTGATTTACTGAGCCTTGGTGCTCTGGGAAACTTTGGCATTATGGGGAGGAATAAAACATCCATCCAATCATTCAATAACCATTCATTGGGTACCTACTGTGTTCCAGGCGCTGTTTTTGGTGCTAGGGATACAGCAAGGAACAAAACAGGCAAATCCTAGAGCTGACATTCTAGATTTAAACGTTAAAATATCTTCACTCTCAATTTGCAGAAAATGAGTAGAGAAACCATGGAAGTTTCCTAAAGATCATTATCAACGAAAGCTGTAGAGCTCTCCTGATCCCAAAGCTTCCCTTCCATCCAGAAAAACAACAGGTTCAAGTTCCGCTGGCAGACTTGTGGGGGAGGGGAGTGCCTCAGTTTCCCCAACTTGCTCCTTGGGCAGGGCGGGAATGGCTCTAAGCAGGCCTCAATTGGCTCCGCCAGAGCTATGGCCAGCAGCGCTGGCCCCTCCCAAACGCCCAACCTCCTCTTCCCGGCCGGCCCCGCCCCCTAGGCCACGTGACGCGCGGGGGTTTTCCCGTTCCCCTTGTGAAACGTCACGGCGGGGTGAGAGCCAATGGACGCGCAGGCC